CTACTGTTACATTGTCTAATATTATAAGAATTATATAAACTGCAAAGTTGAAATTATTTGTTTAAAGTATATTAGAACTTTAGTCAGAATCCAATCAGAATCGAATCATTTGGCGGTCAAAAATGATCTTTAGACATATGCACATCAAATTATCAGATATTTTATAGAGATTTTAACAATAAGTATTAATTTTGTTTACATTCCTATGGGTTCCCTACCAATATTCATCCGTTAGACGGCGTCGCGGCGCTTACGCACTTCGATATTTCGTCTCTATGCAGTTAAAGCAGTACCAAAATATTTCAAAACTAGTGGGGCGCATGGCATAGTGCCCCTAGACAATATTAGAATACCCCGTGTTTATAGTGCCTTAAGGCAAATTGCTGGAACTCCTCGTACCAAAAATGATTTTTTTTTAAAAAGGTTAACATTTTTGAAAAAAAATACTCTGAAAAAATTAGATTTTGAGAAACTATAAATTTTGACAAAAACTTACTTTTTTTTGAAAAAAAGACTTTTTGAAGAAAAATTTATTTTGAAATATTTTGAAAATTCTAAACTTTTTTTCAAAGCAATCGTACTGCTTTAACTGCATAGAGACGAAATATCGAAGCGCGTAATCGCTGCGTCGCCATCTAACGGATAAACATTGGCACGGAACCCATAGGAATGTAAACATAATTTATACTTATTGTTAAAATCTCTATAAAATATCTGATAATTTAACGTGCATATGTCTAATGATCATTTTTGACCGCCAAATAGCATTTTTTTAATTTTTTTTTACCAGATCTCCGAAACCGCTAGACCTGCCTTTATGAAAGTTTGATCAGTTATTCATCTTGTTAATACAAGTAAAATGTTTTTTGAATTATTCAAATCGGACGCTCCGTTCTCTTAAAAACTGAGTTACCGTTTATGGCATTTTTTGCTCTATATCTTCGGAACGGCTAAACCTGCCTTCGTCAAAAACTAATCAACATGTTTCCTTATCAATACGAATTGAATGTTTTTTGAATTATTCAAACCGCTTTATACGTGTTCCCGAAATCGTCGACGAAAATTTGTATCTGCACACACACACATACACACACACATACATACACACTGACACATACATCCATTTTTTCTAAGGTATGCCAAAATGTTCAGAAGGTTTTGAAACGTAAAGATATATAAACATTTTCATGTTTACCTACGGGAAGTTAATAAATTTTTCTTCAAAAAGTTTTTTTTTTCAAAAAAAAGTAAATTTTTGTCAAAAATTTATAGTTTCTTAAAAATCTAATTTTTTTTTAATAATGTTAATCTTTTTAAAAAAAAATAATTTTTGGTACGAGAAGTTCCAGCAATTTGCCTTAAGACACGATGCCATGCACCCCACTAGTTTTTATTATGTTTTCAACGGAGAAGACTGCAATCATTGCAGCAGTGGAGGACCTTTTTTTGGCGCCGCCGGAGATTGCATGTCATTTCAAAAATATTTAATATTTTATTTCAAACATTTTACTGTGTATTCTCAAGACATGTATAAATATACCCTCAAAATTTTAAATAAATCGATTCACTAGTTTTATTATTTTTTAATACCCATAAATGATCTTTTTTAGGTTGTCACACTAGGTGTGCCCCTTAAGAAGTGTTAGTTGTATATACTCGGCTGAAAATTCCTATTCCTTTAATTTAATAAAATCTTTATTATTTTCATACGTTTTGACGTATGACCTATGCGACAATGAAACACATAAATGAAACTAATATGGTGTAAAGACTTACATGTAAATTGGAATGTTTTTATTCATTCGATCATAATTATTAATTAAGTCTTTACACCATATTACTTCTTTTTATACCAGTTTTATTTATCAGTTTCATAATATGTTGGTTTTATTTATCTGTTCGGTAATAATGCATTATTATCGTTGAATAATTATGAATATTTCAATTAACATGTAAGTCTTTATTTATCTGTTTCATTTTCACATAAGTTAGAGTCTAACTTATGTTGTATGTATATATCTTCAGTAGACTACAAAAGAAACGAATATTAAACGTTCAACTGTTAGACTTTAATATTCGTTGCTTTTGTAGTCCACAGAAGATATATATACAACATGTATATATATAACATATGTATATATTTATATATATATATACAGGCCGGTCCTGGGGTCCTTAGCGCCCGCATGCAACTTTTTTTCTAGCGCCCCCCCTCCTCTATTAATTTTCAGCGTTTTAACAGTTTATCATTGAAATTATATAAATTTTTAGATATTTTTTAAAATTATTTTTATTATTCTTTATTTATTATTTTCGATATCAATAAATAAAGCAATCCTTGTCATAATTTCACATTTTAGTAATATTCAATATGTAGTAGATTGGTTATAAGATGTAAATTCGACTACCATAGCAAAAAAATTGATATTTTTGTTAGATTAAAGTTATAGAATTTAAGAAATGCATTTCAGAAATAAGATCTTGATATCAAAATAATAAATCCTATTTCTGAAATGCATTTCTTAAATTCTATAACTTTAATTTAACAAAAATATTAAGTGAAATAAAAAAAATAATTTGTAATTATTCTGGATTTAGTGCAAAAAAATAAAATATAATCTAATAGCGTATAAAATATATTGATTTTAAATTTATTTAAAGAATTGAGGCTATTCGGGGGTTATAATCAAATATTTTTAAATTCTTAATTATTTTTAATGTATGTGCAATATTAATATTTGAGAAAACTAGTATTTCATTTTCAATCATAACACTCGTATTTCATGTTGGATTTTTTAAATTTTAATTTAATTTAATTTTTCGTCGTAAACTTCTTTTTATTGATATCGTAAAAGCCGTCATATTCAGTTTGTTGTTTTAAAGTTAAATTTTTAACGTATTTTAAAAGTATTGTCCAAAAATCAGTAAAAAATGCAAAGAAATTACACATTTCTTGAACTATATTGGAAAAAAAACTTATTATATTTGATATGTATTATTTCTGCATAGTTAATAATTATTAAATTTAGAGTATGGTCACCACTAGGTATAAAAAAAGCCTTAAGATTTTCGTTCCAAAGTAAATTTTGCTTTCATTTTTCATATTTGTTCCATCTTCATAACCCTATCCACGCATGTCTTCAACATTTAAAATTCATCAGATGCGAAACATTTGCGACAAAACTTGTAATAAACATGTCATTTTCTAAGCACTGACTCCCCATTTTTTATTTTTCCGATTATAATTTGTTTATATTTTTTAACAAGTTCCGTTTCTGAACTAAAACTAAATGCCCAACAATTAATTTAATCTTTTGCAGATTTGCGCTTATGGGATTGAACATTAGAAAATTTCTGTTTCGATTCCACGGTAACTTCAAACAAAGAAAAAATTGAATAAGTAGATTAAGCAATAAACAGAATTGTTATTTACTAATTTGCAGAATTATTAATCGGTTAATTGTTTCTACTGATATCACATTGCAAAATAAATATGCTTTCCCTAGTTAAGTTAGATTGTTTATTATAATTTATTAGGTATTTTAGATTTTATATAAATAATTCTAGATTTTATATAAAAAAATATAAATATTATATTATAAATTTAATTTCCGTAACTCGTTTTGGCGCCCCCTAAGGCGTGCGCCCGCATTTTTTGCATGCATCGCATGCAAGGCAGGACCGGCCCTGTATATATATATATATATATATATATATATATATATGTGTGTGTGTGTGTATGTATGTTGTATATATATATATCATATATATATATATATATATATATATATATATATATATATATATATATATATATATATGTATATATATATTCATTACATGAATTGTCAAAGAACAAAACTTTATAATTGTTAATTGTTTATTGGAAAGTAATGAAAATGGTTGTTAGTTGTTAGTACAGATCATGCATAATTATTATTAATGTTATTGAAAAAAGATATCAGACATATAATTTAAATTCGTAAAAGACTTATTGTGAGTTTTCTTTAATCCAATCCAAGTAACCAGAGACCCTTGTGTAAACAGAAGGCCTATCCCTGGATCCGCATGGAATGTATCCCCATGATACAACTCCCAAAAGTGTAGCCTGAAATAGAGTTTACGCATAATATTAACAGATTAAGTAAAACAAAGTTTCTCAATTTCAATAAAAAATATTTTTATAAGTGAACAAGTAGTTTTACAAGAATAACATATTCTATTTTACTATGTGTTATCACGTATCAAAATTTGTTACAAAAAATATCATTATACTGACCTCATTTCCATTATATTGTACAAGTGGGCCGCCAGAGTCACCAGAGCAAGCGCTTACTCCACCGGTCAAGGGTCCAGTGCAGAGGTTCAAGGGGTGAAGTGGTGAGGCTCCAGGACCTCCCAATACTTTCTCACATTCGGCATAAGATACAATTGGTTTGTCAACGGTCTACGATAAAATAAAATAATAAATCTTTATATTTATTAACTTAGGTATAAAAAATAACTTTATTTTTAATGTTTTAAACTTTAAAATAATTTCAACGTACCTGTAAAAGGTTGGGGTAAGATGGGAAATTGGAAGTAGATGTTGATCCCCATCCGGACAAAGTAACTTGGCCAGAGTGTGCTTCATCTCTACTTGGCAGTTTAACGGCTTGAACGGCAGAGTTCAATTTGAATGGAGTTGCCAATTCAATCTAAGGATCACAATAATATGTTATTATTTAGACTTTATTCAATTATTTGTATACGGTAGTGATATTTAAAAAAAATCTTACCAAAGCAATATCGTATGGGCCAACACCTCCAGAATAAGATTTGTGCACGATGGTCCTCTTGAAGGCTGAACGTTGTTCAGTGGATTCAGATTTAGACAAATCGTGTTTTCCGGCTACAGCCTAAAAAATTGAATAAAATATCATAATGTTGAAATGATAATAAAATTTTTTCAATTATCAATAAACATACAAAATTACAATACATATATATGGGGTAGAGCGGGGCTCAAAGGTCCGCGGGTAAAAAAGTCCAACACCCATATCAAAAAATCAAGTGAAGTTAAGAATTGTTTAACAACGATATTTGAAAGTGAAGGGAAAAAGAAGAATAACCAGCCTTCACATAGACTTTTGCGACGTTGCTATCTCAAGATAAAGGGCGATGTTTGAAAATCCATAACAAAAGTATTTTCTCTGATGTTAGTTTTTTTATTGTGAGCACTTTTGTTTAGTTTACGAAACCTTTATATAATTTTAATTATACGTTATTTAATTATTTTATAAGATGTATTATCAATTTTAAGTTGGATTCAACAGTTTTTTTATATAGCTTCTATTAAAACTTATATGTGAGTGGGGTAAAACCTTCTGAACATTTACTTTAGTAAAAGTATAAACAATAAAAAATAGTAAATAAAAAAGTAAATTATTTTGAAAAAAGCAACAGAAGATAAATTAAATCAATAAATATTCGAACTCTGCTGATGATTATTTCAAATAATTGGCAAAATACTCGATCAAGGTTAGATACAGTGTGATCTCTGTAAAAAATGTATCCATGAAATTTACATTTTGCATTGGTTGAATAATGTAGATATTATTTCGTAAAATTGCTTTTAAATTAGAAATAAGACATTAGACCCGTTTGCCACCTTATTGGCCAACCCATTTTACGTCGTCTTTGGGGTAAAAAGGTCAGGTGACTATTTAAAAAAACGAAAAAAACACAGTTATACAATGATTAATTAGCTTGGAATTTTACTGAACATAGTCAGATAGTTGTTTGTTTGATTTGTGTTATTTTTTATGATATACTTAATTGGTATGGTTGTGACTTTTCCCCTATAAATTATCAAAATTAATAGTTTTATAAAAATTGATAATTTTATATTTTCGCAATAATTTTTTCTCATAAAAAATATCAACATTTTAATCACCTCAAATCCAAAAGTACCACTGATGCAGTGAGCGGCAGTGACAACCCACTTTTCATTGAGTACTGAACCACCGCAGAAGTGGTCTTTGTTTCTTTGCAAAGATACCTGCCATGGGAATTGGTGCTCGCTGGCGGTGTGACCACCTACAACACGTGGGAAGCCATCGGGGAAGCCGACCACCTCAATTTCTGAAAGATTTATTAGATATTTTACATAAAACATAAATTATATTTCTCCTAGCGACATCTGTCAACTGGGCCCTATTCCTTCTCTTCCCTACTTGATATTCCATGACTTATCTATTTGACCTTGATAGAGAATTCAGTTCAGTACAGTCAACGACTTGTAACGGATAACACATAATGCTAATATAGGTTTCCATATTTTAGATTTTAAATTTATAACAAACTGATAATAACACAAACCTAGTCTCGAAACGTTTGTGAAATTATTATTTAATAAATAGTGCAAAAAAAGAGTGTTGTTTGTTCATATTTCTAAATTAATAAATTATATTATATATACAAATAAAATGCAATATTTCTGAAAAAAATCGAAAAATCCGATGCAAGAGATGTGTCCATCAGAAAAATATTGAAAAACTCACAGTTATCAAAATCTCTGATTACTGACAATTGTAACCACATATGTTAGTACTGATTGCGGAGTAATGTAATAATGTGAGTCTCAAATTTTTAATTATCACTGATGATGACAAAACCTCTTATATCGAAATGTAGGAAAAAAGAATGATTTAAGAAAAAGCTTTTTATTTTAATTTGGCCTAGTGCGTTTGAGGTTTATATATTTGTATTTTATATAATATCAGGTAAATATATTAAAAAAGCACAAAATATAATTTATTATGCAAATTTTATATTTCACGTTATGGTTTTAATATGCCAATTGTATGAGTAATTTACAACTAGTATATTGGTAATAACAAATAAAAAAATTGAATTTATTAGTATTTAATTTAATCCAAATAGTATGATCTGAACAAATATTAGAAAAAACTTAAAATATTGTTAAAAAAATACTCTATAATCAATCTATTGAGAGCGATCATACGAACATACGTAATTTAAAAAAAACTTATATTTTTGAAACAATTAACTACAGTAATTATTTAATTAATAAATATTTCAAAAATACTTACTACTAAAAAAGTGACAACAACGCATAAAAATGCATTATTTAATAAACCGAGAAAATTGATCCATTTTATTAATTTATAATAATATTCTATATTTCAAGTCAATTAAATAATTATTTAATGATTTTAACTTACCGCTGGCTGGAGCTGCGGTGGCAGCAGCCACTAACAAGACGAAGACAAACAGTTTCATGTTGTAGAGTATTTGATACTACTATGCTTAGTTTGGATATTTCCCTCATTATTTATATTATTTTCTAGGCTTATCTAAGAAAATTGCAAAACATGCCCTTGTCTTATCGATTTATTAACGGATTAAGAGTTGCTGCTGCCAGATAACGGTTATCTGATGATTCCGAAATTAAAATTGCGCGATCACTGTAGTATATTTTACCTTATTGGAAATTCTAGTTTGAAAGAGATTTCGCATCAGCTAATATCAAATCTTTACATTTTGTGATGTATCATTCAGATAAGTCTAGTAATTTATTTGGACTTGATTAGATAAATGTGGGCTGCCCATGGGAATTTCCAAATTCTATGACAAATTGTAATTTTTGCAAAAAAATTTGTGATTAGAATTTTCATTTTGAAGCATAATTGATTTAGATTTTCTAAAAGTGTAATACAAAGAGTTTGGTTCTTGCACCTGTACATTTATCATTGAACTCATCAAAAACATTTGAAAACAGTAATTGAAACAGTTTTTACAATTAATTTATATTTCAGATTTCTCTAGTTAGTGTTGTATCATTCTAAAAAAAAATTGATGTATAAATGCAATATTTTTGCATTTTCGAAAGGCTTAGTTTTACTTAAAAATATTTTCTTAAAATAATGTTACAACTCATGATATATCCTGATAAATTTATAGTTATTAAAATAAATCTTTAACATTTGACCAAAAATTTTTGGTGAAGTGTATAAGAAAGCTGGTGAATAAGTATGCTATTTTAGTAACTATTTTAAAGCTATTTCAAGGTTTCAGAATGTACTTCAAGCAAATGATTTTGCTCAATATAACACTGTTCTCAGGATTGAGAAAAATTATAATATTATATATGTTTTAAATAAAATTGTTAATATAAAATTATAACATTTATATTCTTATAAATCAGAACTCACAAATCCGTTGATAAATCAAAAAACCTCATAAATCTAAATTGTTCAATAACAAAATTCATAAAAGGTCTAATAAAATATTCCATTGATTGCTACTTTGTTATTATGATTTTTTTACGCAAACATTATATTAAATGCGACTCATTGAATATTCAAATAGACGGATTATTTTATATTTTTCATTTTCCCATAAAACTTGTGAGATCAAATAAAATATTAGCGTAAAAACCTTAAAAGGTTCATAATTATAATAAATTATATTTTTCTATTATTCAATAAAACTGTAGATATGTTAAAGTCAACAAGTTTTAATAAATTAAAAGACCAATTCATATTACAAAAAATATATTTTAATGCAGTAGAAAATTATCTTACTAAATTATTAATCATTATTACTAAACTAAATTATAATACAATTATATCGAAATAATTCATTTAGTATTTTCGCTTATCCAATCTAAGTAACCAGAAACTCTTGTATAAACGGATGGTCTGTTGCGAGATCCGCATGGGATATAGCCCCAAGAAACTACACCCAGTAAGATAACCTTTAAGTAAGACAAAGTCAGTAAAATTCAATGATTATGAAACAGTAATATGTGTTATTAAAATCGATTGAAATGCAATGAAGTGACAAACATGAAAATAATTCATATTTTCCGCAAAATACTAATATGAATAAGACTAAGATTAATAAGTAATCAGAATGAGATATTTTTAGGTAATAAGTCAAAAATTGTTGAAAAAAAATTGGAATAGAGTTGTAATATATTCATAATTATGAACAATTATGAATAGATTATAAAGCTTTACTAGTAATGTGTAAAATAATTGTAATAATTCTTGTAGGAATGTTAGAATTGAAAAGCAAGAATTATTCACCTTTGAGTCCGATCAAGATATTCATATCACTTTTTTTAAAAAAAATTGTAATTACATGTGATTTTTGCATGTAGTTTATATTATTACTTTTATTTCGCATGATTAAAAATTGATCATTTTTTCTGAGTATTATGTGTCTTTTTGTGGGAATTGATATAAAAGTGAATGTAGCATCGAATTGATTTTGGTGTCGCAAAATTGTTTATAATATGGGTATGAGTTTGGAATAAAAAAAAGTTGGCAAATTTACTTAACTTATATAAAATACTGAAACATGAAATAACGTTTGATTCTAACTTTCAGAAAGGTAGTGCAGAAGACCTCACTAAGTTTCAATGTTTCAATCACCGTAAAGATTGAATATGTTTGATGCCAATGTATGTTTTAGCATGTTTTACTATTCATTATAAAACAAAAAATAAAAATGAAAACCTCCAAAAAAAATATGAAGAACATTTAACAAGCAATTAAAAACTTGCATGACTGTTAATAGAAGAATAATAACTCACGTCATCGCCATTGTATTGAACAAGTGGACCACCAGAATCACCAGAGCAAGCACTGATGCCACCAGTCAAGGGACCAGTGCAGATGTTCAAAGGATCGAGAGGAGATGCTCCTGGTCCGCCCATAGCATTTTCGCAATCAGTGTATGGAACAATCGGTTTGTCAACATACTGAAATATTAGAAATATTCATTAGCATAAACAAAAAACTGAATATAATACTATTGGCATATAAAATAATTCAATACCTGTAGTTCATTTGGATAAGTGGGGAAGATGGTAGTTGAAGTAGATCCCCAACCAGAAAGCGTCACTTGTCCAGAATGTGCTTCGTCTTTCAATGGAAGTCTGATTGGCTTCACATTGTCGTTAAATTTGAAAGGTGTTGCTAACTCAATCTTAAATGAAATAATGTATGCGATAATCAACAGGACATTTGATTCATTAAAAAATTAAAACAGACTTAAAATCAGCCAATAATTATATACAAGTACATTTGTAAGTTATTTACAGTTTATTGTTAAAACAATTATGTAAAGTATTCATGATGTTGATCCAATTCTATAAGAATTGCAATATATTATATATTCACATTCATAATATATCGTCATATTCATAATAGCATTGTAGTTAAATTATACCTACTATTTGAATTTCCTAATACAATTAAACTGTATTTTTATTAGTGTATTATTTAATAGTGTTTACGTGTTATTCAACATGTACATAAATATTTTTTACAAAATTTTTGTAAATTCATTGATTTGATTAATTATTGAAAAATTTATAAGCGTAAAGTGGTTGTTTAAATTTATTTGAAATAAGCAAAATTAAATTATATCGAATAAAATAACACAGTTGCAAACAATATTTCACTTCAATATCATCATATTTAATTTGTTAGAAAATATGAATTAGGTATGGAAAACTATGAAAATATAATATACAAACGCACTTATACGAAGTAACAAAAATAGTTCAATGATACAAAAAGTGATTTGATTATCTCGTAAGTGATAAGTTTTCCTATTACTCTCTATTATATATACTAGGCTCTAGTTCTACTCTAAATTATTATAAATATCATGAACATATTCTTACAATATAAGGGGAGAGATAACTATTTGAGTGAAGCAATTCACGAAATGAATTTCTTTGATAAGAACTGTTACTGTTGCAAATTAGGTATGTGAAGGTATTGACAGAATATATGATTAGTTACAGAACGATAATCGAATCATTATGAATAAGAACTGAATTATGTAATATATAAAATGAAAAACTTACCAAAGCGACATCGTAAGGACCCACCCTTCCAGTGAAGGACGAGTGGACGATGGTCCTCTTGTAGGCGCAACGTTGCTCAGATGATTCGCTTTTCGACAAATCGTGTTTTCCGACTACAGCCTACACAAATTAATTATCAATTAATTCAAATCGAATTTAATATTCATACAATTGGCTTTTGCGTTAATTAATAACACAAATATAAGTTTGCAAAATATAACAGCATTATATTCATATAACAGCTACTATTCTGAATAGAATGCTTCAAAAATGATTTAAGTACTACTTTGTAATATAATTGTTAAATATAACAAAATAGAACGTTCCTATAATAATAACAAATATTTTAATTTTGATATTAAGCTAAAATTAGCGAACTGTATACAGATCATTCTAAATGAAATCCCATCTTTTAGATTTATCTCGTCTCATTCTATTCGTTTTGAGACAGCACCGAATATTAGTTATTTAAGAAAATATACTTTTAAACCAGATCAGTAAGGCAAACAATTTCCCTTTTAACCAATTTTATAACATAATTGACAAAAAAATATATGGTGCGCTATAAATACAATCAAATAAAATAAAATTTTAAAATTCACTTATAAAGTATATATGACTAATGTACAAAGTAAAAAAATAAACCAAAAAGCCAGATTATTTGATATTTACTAGGTTAGCATCGCGTTTAAGTATAATAATAAATATTTAAGTTGTATCAATTACAAATGTACATTAGTACAAAAATTATATGGTTCTACATACTCATTTAAAACACAGGGTAGGACGGGGTTTATATATATATATATATATATATATATATATATATATATATATATAAAAAATAATGTTAAAAAAAAAATTTAACTACAATATTTGAAAGTTGAGGGAAAAACATATATAACCAAACACCATCAAGATTCTTACGACGTGGATTATTTCTGAAAAAAATACCAGATCAAAGTTAATTACAGTGTTCTCTATGTAAAAATGCACCCATAAATTTATATTTTGCTTGAGTTGAATGATGTATTAATTATTTGTAAAAATACTTCAAAATTAAAATTAAAATATTGGACCTGTTTGCCCCTGTCCGAATTACCCCGCCTATGGGGTAAAAAAACAGGTTACCAATTTTTTGAAAAAAGATACATTCCTAGAAAAACAAATTAGCTGGAATTTTTACTGAACATAGACAGATAGTCGTTTCTTTGATATGTGTTATTTGTTATGATATTACGGTTTTGGTTTTATATTTTTGTAATATACCTCAAAGTCAAACTCGCCCAATATAAATTTCAATGATATAATATGAAATTAATATTTTCCAAGGATTTGTTTGTAACAATGATATAAATGGTCAAATAAATTACTTATAAATCCTACTAATATACTAACATGA